TTTTTTTCTGGGTGAGGCCAGTGCCCTACCCATTGAGTCACAGGTGCCACCCATGTACAATGAAAAATTTTTTTAGCAGATCCTAAACTCTTGTGTTTAGGTATTCACCCATTCCTTTCACATTCCTAGGGAAGGTTACACACTCTGTAGCCAAAAGATAGACATTGCTTCCCCTAAGACTGTCATTTACCCTGCTAAAGACTGAGTTAGGAAGGGTCATATGTCATAATTCCGGCCAATGAGAAGCCTACGAGAGGCTTCTGAAAAAGATTTCTCACCAATAAAGGAGACAATGACCCTCTTCTGCTGCTGAAACCATAGCAACCATCTTTCAACCATGAAGGGTGCAGCCTAGAAGATAAGCTGAGGATGGCAAAGCAGGAAAAACAGAAAGAACCCTGAAGCTATCCTACCTCAGGACTTTTTATTATATATACAAGATATAAATCCTTTTACTGTTTAAGGCCTTTTAGAGTAGAATGTCTATGACTAAATACACCTTATTGATATAGGCTGGTGGGCATTACAATTCAGCAAATAGCCTTAGCCCAAAAGAGGAATAGAACAAGCAGCACCTTAAACGTTTACAACTCAACACACCTGCTTAAAAGATACTGGGTAACAGAGGAAAATTTGAATGCCAAAACATAGACCATTACTTCAGGGCAGTGGTTCTCAACCTTCCTAATACTGCAACCCTTTAATACAGTTTGCAACCCACAGGTTGAGAACCACCTCTTTACAGAAAGAAGGAATGGAAAGAAATGTTCTACTAATTAAATTGTGTAAGTTATTTAAGCCCTAATAAAATTTCAAAAGCTAGGGGCGGTACAGGGGCTGTGCTGGGAGGAAGGCCCAGCATTTAAAACTCATTTTCCTTGTTTATATATGTGATCTCAAAAATACTTTTGAAATTATTTTCCCATGTATATCTCCCAGAAGGATAAATTAAATGACCAAAGAAGCTGCACTACCAGATAGCTGAAACTTGCTGGTTTATAATAAGCACATTAAGTTTGTGTGTGTGTTGGTTTTAAGTATGAGTACAATAAATCTGAGTATAACAAATTAGACCTTTTTGTACAGTGTGACTAAAGTGGAATTTCTAACTTTGGAAAGCCAGTAGGCTGAGAAAACTTTGCAATAACACCCTAGGTGACATTTCCATTTCATTCCTAAAACACTGGTTTTTAACCACCCTAGAGTCTTATCAGAATGAAACAAATCCGTACCATACAACCCCTCTCAAACCCCATTTAAGTATTACAGAAGAGACATACAATTACACTAAGCCTCTAACGTACTCAAGAGAGAGCAAAGGTTAAAGCTTTGACTTAGTCTGGGTTCCACCTAAGGATTCAAGTGCAACTGACACTTCTAGAATGAACTAGGTAGGGGGATGCAGAGTCATCCCCCTCTGGACAATTATGCTTCATTCTGCTGGGGACCTCTAAAAGATGGCATGGAAACCATTATCCCATTAGAGGGATAACTTTCGAATACCCAATTGTATGATTTCTCTGGTCAGCAAGGAAGCTGGGTATGTGTCCTCTAGTTTCCATCTGTCATTAGCTAAAAACTGTTCATAGGGGCATTAACACCATAGCACTTTAAGCAGAGAAAGCCTCAAGCAAATGCTGATGATGGGATTCCTGTTGGTGGTGTGTGATGAAATGGCAAGTGCCCAGGAACACTGGGGAGGGCACTGACAACTTCTGCTATGTACCTGCCAGTCCTGATTGGTTTCTCTCCTCTTTGGCTCTCAATATTCACCTTATTTTGCCACTTTTCACAGTCCTTGATGAAATCTTTTTGCTTCATCCAGAAGATAGAGCATTTTGGTTCAGTGCCCGTAGCATAGTGATTACAGTGCCAGCCACATACACCAAGGGTGGTAGGTTTGAGCCCAGCCCCCAGAGCTAAACAACTGCAACAAAAAAATAGCTGAGCATTGTGGCGGGTGCCTGTAGTCCCAGCTACTTGGAGGCTGAGGCAAGAGAATC